TCTGCGAAAGCGTCGCCTTGCCTCAGCGGTGTGGCTTTGGACAAATGGAGGAAGTACATTTTAGATGTACGGAATATCAAGCCCGAGAGTGTAAATTATATGTTAGTCGAATTGAAAACATTGTCCACCGATGTTATTTCGCTCGACGCAATGAGAACTTTGATCATTCTGCCACACTTGAAGCCTTTGCGCGAGGAACTAAAGGATGCGTTAAAGACTGGATTGCTGTCTCTGTATCAGCGAATGTTGAGGCATGACAGTGCAGAAGATACCAGGAACATCAGTGAAATAACTTTTGTATTTTTATTGACGCTCGAATCGATGATACACGTGTCAGAGCCGGACGATCTTCACGAGTTTTTGCTGAAGTCTGACGTGAGAATAGTCGATCTTGTTACCAGATATTACGATAATAAATTCATCTTGAACGCGATAGATCTGTGCCTAACGTACTTCGCAGCGTCGCGATGCCACAAATATTACATCAACCCGGCCTCGTTCGACACGTTGCACAACAACACAGTGAAAAAGATGGGCTCGCCTTACAGCAATGTGCGGTTGATTGTGGCACACTTGTACTCTTTGTTCGCCAATGTGGAAGAGCTGCGGTGCCAGAGGCAGGATAACGGGAAGAGTGCTGCGGAGCTCGTTTACCTAGCTGAATGTAAACCCGCGACTATACAAACGTACCGTGACAAGTTGTTGCATTTGCAAGCCTTGGAGTTTCACGGTCGCGCGCTGGCCAATCTGGATCCGAGGTATCGCGAGTTCCCGTTGCGATGTTTGATCGCTAATTTATACGTGAACTTCTCCCTACTCTGGGAGCCTGTGAGCGCGATTATAGCTGGTTATGGCAACAAGGAGTGTCCGCAGTTTTGGCCGACGTTCCTCTCCGAAATAACGTCCGAAGACAAGCCGGAAGTCGAATGGAGATCGCCGTATCATTGTCACGTCGTCTCCTCGCTGATAACGTCCGTGGAGGAGCACAAGGACAAGCCCGATTTCGAGAACCACAGGATCCTCCTGTGGAAGTGCATGGCGCGCTTCTCGCACTACGCCGAATCGAAAAACAGAGACTTAACCGTGCTCTTCATCGACTTCGTGAATGCGAATTTCTTCAGATCCAATTCGGACGACGGCAAATCCTGCGATATCGGGAAGCGCAAGGAGTCGTCCGACGCGATGGAAGTACCGAGAAGTGCCGTCGAGAGTGCCGACGAAGAGGAGGACGCGAGGGCCGCGCCGACGAGTAAGATGAGCAAGAATCACAGGATGAAACTCTTAATCGCCCAGATGGAGATATTCGGTAAAGTGCAGAATCCGAGAGTCCTGCACCGGGGGGCGGAGATGCGTCAGATTTACCTGGATCTGCTTTCCTCGAAGAACGCCGATGTGCAAAGGGCGGCTCTGAATTGTCTCTTCACCTACAAGTACGACTATCTCCTGCCGTACAAGGAATCTCTGTACGGTCTGATCAGCGAGAAGAATCTCCGGACCGAGCTGGCACGCTTCAAACTGGACGCGGAGAGCAACGTGATACAGGAGGAGCATCGGCAGGATCTCATGCCGATCGTGATGAGAATCGTCTACGCCAAGATGATCATGAAGACCGGCATGAGGAGCGGCGGGAAGGCCGGCGGGTTTGCGCGGCGGAAGGTCATATTGCGCTTCTTGGGCGGTACGCGGGAGGACGAGATGATCGAGTTCGTGAAGATGGCGTTCCGACCGCTCAGGTCGTACGTGCCGGTGGAGACGTTCGACCTGGGCCGACACGCCCGGAAGATCGTTGACGCAGTCGACCTGGGCAGCATCATGCCGCCGAAACGCATGCAGAGCGCGGTGAACTTGCTGGCGATAATGATGGAGCAGTTCGGCGGCGAAATGTCGGCGAAGTTGCTGCCGCATTTGCTCGGAATGCTGATCTGCATCCTGGCCGAGGCGACCGGGATCCTCCGCCGATCGGAGGAGGTTTACCCGGGCTACCTGCCGGCGATCAAGAACGTGAGGACGAGCTGCGTCGGCGTGCTCGCCAGATTCTTCGCGCATTTCGAGGACTACGAGTGGAAGCGGCACGAGATAGACGCAGTCTTCGACGTCGCGGTCTTCCCCAGGTTGGAAAAGTTGCCCGTCGAGAGTATCCACAGCCCCACGACCTTGTTGAAGCTCCTCATGGCCTGGGGAGAAAACCCGCGGTATTACCCGTTGTTCGTGAAGCACCGGGAAGACGACAAATCCGTGACTCCGCTGCACTACGTTTTGCAACTTCTCTCGAATCCCAGGACGCACGGGTCGGTCGTCAACGCTGTCCTGGCGATTGTCGAGAAGATGCTGACGCTGCAGGACTACGGTGAGATGCGGGTCGACGGGCCGCCGTTCTTACCGCTGACGCCGGTGTTGACGAATTTGCTCGAGGTGGACGAGAAGACGCTCTCGAACGGGGTTAATTACGGCTCGGCGATCCTGCTGCCGCACGTGCCTCGCGTCTTGGAATTCATCCGGGACAGGCTGAAGAGATCCAGCAAAGGCGTCGGCAGGATCGAGCTGGCCATACTGTCACGGATCTCCGAGTTCGTCACGGACGCGGGCACGTGCGACACGCTGTTGACGCTGATACTGCCGATATTGACGAAGAAGGCGACGCGCGACAGCGAGGAGGCCGTTGCGGAGCTGCTGACGACCGTCGTGAACCTCGTGAGGATCGTCGACAGACCGGAGACTCATCTACGCGCCATCGCGCCGCTGATGGGCCTCGCGTCGGGCACGAGCGTCCGCAGACTCCTCGTGCTGCTATGCAACACCGTCGCCGAGAGGTCCGCGGCGGAGCGTCGCGAGGCGTTGACGCGCGAGTGCGGGGTCCTGGGCGCGCTCAACGCCTCGGACCACAGGTGGATCGATCAGCCGGATTTCCAGAAGCGGCTGGACGCTTTCGGGACGATCACCGGTCTGGCCGAGGAGGGCGCGATCTCGCTGGAATTCGGCGCGGCGGTGATACACAATTGCTTCTACTTCCTGAGGACCGAGTCTGACCTGGCGATGAGGGACTGCTCCGGACAGTGCTTGAAGCTCGTCGCGACGACGTTGGCGAGGGAACACCGGAGCGACGCTTCGAACAGGCGTTACCTGATGGACGACACCGTACTGCTGCTCGCGAGGAAGGGGATCGTCAGTAGGAACGAGGCCGTCCGCCTGCAGTCGATCGCGCTTGTGGGTCACCTCGCACTGGAGTGCGCGGACGTGCATCCCGTCCTGCGGGACCTGTCCCTCCTGGCCAATCGGGCCGATCCCGAAGTCGACTTCTTCGAGAACATGCAGCATCTGCAGCTGCACCGGAAGGCGCGCGCCTTACTGAAATTCTGCGCGCTCGCCAAGACCCTGGAGAAGCCGATCAACCCGAGGACACTAGTGCAGTTCATCCTTCCCCTCGGCTCGTCGTACCTGTGCAACGAAGCTTACGCTCACAAGAACAGCATCGTGGACGCCGCCATCGAGACCGTCGGGACAGCCTGCAGATTTCTGCCGTGGCACCATTACGAGATCGTCCTGAAGCACTACCTGGGCAAACTGAGGAGCTCCGTGGAATTCCAGAAGCAAATCGTCCGGGTGATCGTGGCGATACTGGACTCCTTCCATTACGACCTCTCGAAGTACAAGTCGTCGGCGGAGGTTGCGAAAGCTGTCCCGGCCGAAAGGACCGCCGACGAAGGGAAAGTTGACGGGGGAAATGTGAATCTCGAAGGTACGCAAGAAGCTAATGAAAGTAGTGAAGAGGAATTAGATGAGGCACTGAACGATGAAAACGTCGAAAGCATCGAAGAAGTAATTGAGAAGGGCAGTGAAGCGAAGACGGAAAGTCTGCTGATTATCGAGAGGCAAATATTACTTTCTCAATATGGAGCGAAGAGGGTGATATTCAGCATATCGAATGGCCTGCTGCCCCAGTTACACCGGTCCATCGTGGCCAGAACTCGGCGGGAGGACACTCACAAGATCAACAGGAGGAAGATCGCGTCCGAGACGGAAGAAGACGATTTACTGCGAGTCCCTATCGCTCTTGCGCTTGTGAAGCTGCTGCAGAAAATGCCCGAGGATCTTCTGGACGCGAATCTGCCGGGGTAAGTGCGCGATGACACCCGACGGTGTCGTCAACAGGACAGCGTATCTAGTAAGCAAGAAATATTGAATCCATTTTTTTAATTACGTTAAGTTTATGTGGATGTTATAAACATTTTGACGTAATATTTTATGAATGTTTTTACACTGTTACTTGATAATATAGTATTCTTAAGTATGAAAATCATAGTGTAAAAATCTTATTTTTAATATTTGGCTCAAGTATTGTCAACAGTGACGTTGTACACAACATTAAGAACTATACATATTTGTAGACGTTATACAGGGTGTGTAACAAAAGGTCGGGACTCCGAGATATCTCGAAAAATATCAGTTTTATAAAAAAATGTTTCAAATAACAGTTGTAAAATTTAAAAAGATGTGTTTACTGATCTTATCAGTTTGAACCCGGGTGGCGTCGCCAAGGTCAGGGCAAGTTCACCTTGAATTTTTTAAATAAAATTTCCAATTTTTAATTACAAATTTTTACAGCCCTTCTCGAAGATTGGAGAATAGATTTTTTTAAATCCTGCAACTTTATTTGAAACATTTTTTTTTTTATAAAATTTATATTCTTCGAGATATTCCGGAGTGGCGATCTTGATATATTCTGTATAAAATGTCAATGTAATAATTTTGTGTTAATGATTTCTTACTTACTAAATACACAGTTTCGGAAAAACTGTTTTTCCCCATTTTTCCACGGATTTCTTCGGCTTCAGTACCAAGGGTACAAACATTCGTTTAGAAAAATTCACATGTGTTCGATTAAAAAAAAGAAATTTACCTTTCCTTAAAGAAAAAGTAAGAAATCAAAGAAATCCGCGGGAAATTGGGAAAAAATAGATTTTAAATAAAAACCTAAAAATTATAGGATAATGCAACATTCTATGTCTTAATGTACGAGAGGATCTAATGCATATATTTTCAGGATTTTCATGAAATTATGTACATTCTTGAAATCGCGCATGGAATCGGTTCGACGTGCGACTCGCGAGATACTGCAGAAGATCATGATAACATTAGGCCCGAAGTATCTTCATTATCTTTTGAAAGAAACCAATACACTGTTAACGAAAGGTTTCCAAGTACATGTCCTTGTGTATACAGTTCAGTCCGTATTATCCGCACTGAAACCGTATTTCCAAAAGTTGGACATCAATCATAACTTGCAAAGCATTCTGTCTGTAAGTATTGCCACATATACCATAAACAGTTTTAAATTTATAAGGTCTATTTTTTCTTTTAACAAATCATCATATAGGGCTGGGTGAGTTAATTTTTATTTTAACACATTGACTGCCGAGCCGAAAAAGTGCTACACACATTCAAATAATATTTACTTGACACATTAACTGCCGGTCACGTGAGGATGTGTTGATGGTTACATAATTCCCGCCGAACGCGTGACTGGCTACTGATACATCACCCCGCGCTGGCGCATGATTGGCTTTGTAGCGTTGACGCCATATCACGTGCCGGCACGGGATTGGCAGCGAAAGTGTTAAACTAAGTTATAAGTTCGAAATTAGTGGTCTATCACACACAGTTAAGTTAAAAGCCATTTAAACGAAAACTAACTTAATTAAAATTTAAGTTAGTTAAGAAAAGTTAATATTAAATTACTTTGTGGAAGTTAAAAGTTAATAATGCAAAAACATGTACACACACGCACACATATATATGTTTTTTTGCATAATTAACTTTTTAATCGTAAAATAAATTTACGCTAAATAAAGAAAAGTATGTTATAAAAAAATGTGCCGACTGTTCTGTGCTCAGAATTCCACATAAAAAAAAGAGCTACTCAAGGAGCCAACAAATTCTGCTGGCATTATTTATTTATTTTATATTATAACAAACACCTGGGGTAAATTATTGATAGTGTTGATGAATTATTTTAACGTAAATAAAATAAAAAAAGTTAATAAGTTGAAATTAGTGCATTTTCAATTAACTAGTTTAAATATATAAGTTAAAAGTTAATTCATTTAAAATGAACCAAGTTAAGTTAGAAATTATGAACTTTATAACTTAACTTTTAATTGA